ACAGAGACCCCAAATTTAAAGATGACTGAGCCCAGTGCTGCCAGGAAGTAATTATTATCTTTATGTTTTTCCCATTTATATGTTCTGTTTTCTTTCTTTTTGCTATTTAACAGCACCGATAAGTTGTTTATTGTTGTTATCAATAGTTACGTTGTTGAAAAACTTTGCATTGCCGCCAGTGTTTATGTTTTTTATTTTCCTGGCGTTTATATTTTTAACCTTTGTTTTGTAATGTTTTTTTGGTTGTATGTGGCAACTGTCGAAGGGCATGTGTGTCACTATTATTTAGATGCAGAGAATACTTGGTTAAAAAATTTTTTTGGTTTTGTACTCAATAACACTGGTGGCATCCATGTTTTCCGAGTTGGAAGCTGGAATGCAAAACAAGCCTGTTACGTCATTTGCTGCTCGGAAATTCCAAGTTCTGAGGACAACTGGAACGCACAAAAAGGCTTGTGGCACTTCTAATTGTTGTGGTTTTAAAGACATATTCAAGTCATTTAAAACGGGCTACAGCAAACTCTGCTTCAAACGCCATCTTGAATGTTTATTTGAAACTCAGCTTTGTGGTGTGTGACTATGAGTTACATGCAGCCAGTAACCCTTTTAAAACCCGAATATTCACAATAACCCGGTTCCGCAGGTTCATGTAAACACCGCCAAAAACCCGGATATGCTCATACACCTGGGGTAACCCTTTTCTAACCCGAATGTTTGGTTGTGAAAACACATATCGGGATATTCCCATCAAAGCGTGTGTTCTGCACATGCTCTGTTTGCAAGGAATCTTGGTCTTTTGAGTAGCGAGATGTCTTGTATGCGCCAGAACACCGGAAGTAAACAACAAGTTGGGAGCAACATGGCGAGTCGCGGCACAGCACCACACTTTTGGAGTGACGAGGAAACTAAAGCGCAAACAAACGCGGTCGCTATCTCTTCCGAACTGGGAAACATGTTGTTGTTTTCACGGATACCGGAACAAGAAGAACCGGAAATGACGCATATTGCGTCTGGACGTAGTCCATACGTCCTGACGCTACCCCAACGTCCGCATTTAAATCGGTTTATGCAAGTTAGGGGTAACTCTTTCTATTTATGCTTGTAAACGGGTTATTCTGATCAACTCAGAAACCCGAATACCGACCTTAACCCGATCATAACCCGGATATTGGCTGCATGTAAACGTAGTCTATGCTGCTCAGCGCTGATTGGCTTGGTTAGAATTCTCGGGGGTGGGGTTATTTGAATAGAAGTGTTCCCAGACCCATGGGCTGGCTGGTCAGGCTGTCTTTGGTTCATACACAGAACCTGACCATTCTCCCGCATGTGTCTGCTAGCAGGTTCTGATAAGAACAGGGCAGGCAGCCGAGCTCAGAATAGGATTGAAAAGAGCTGGGTGGGAATATCACTAGCTTGGTTCAGTAAATTGGAGTAATCTCTTTTTATATTTTTTTTTATACTGCAGAATGCAGATATAAATGGACAGCAGAACGTTATGTTTTTTTCTTTTTCTTTGGCTAAATTGGGGTGGTGTGTAGGGTGACCAGATGTCCCGCTTTGTGCGGGACAGTCCCACACTTTCATTACTTTTCACATGTCCCGCAAATTGAGACTCATGTCCCGCATTATTGACAGTTTCCCGTTTCGAGTTTCAACCTTGTAGAAGAAACTGTGGAAAAATCTGCCTGTTGCTGTCAATCAAACGGAGGCGGGATTTTATCGCAGATTCGGAGCGTATGTGGAGCACGCCCGAACCACCAAAACAAGCATGAGTGAGCACGGAGGAGAAAATGCTGCAAACTCGTGAATTAAACGTGTTCAGAAATACTCGACAGAGTCTTTGTTGTTTCTGTCATTCTTTCATGTTTCGGCGCAGAGTCTGATATGAGAGGTCAAAAGCAGGTTTTCCAGTAATTAGACAGGTCCATGTTAAACACAGTGGAGGCAAGGCCGGATTATAATAAGGGCAAACTGGGCACAGGCCCAGGGGCCCACAGACATAAGGGGGCACACACAAGCAGCAGTCTTTTTTTTTTGTGCAGCAGTCTTAACGTTGGAGAAAAAAGTTGACAAGTAATTAAAATTGCACCCACATTTTCTAAGTTAACACACATTTCTTTTCACAACAGTAGGTTTTGCATACTGTTCCCCTGCTTCAGCCCTCTCCCCCTTCCCTTGCGCGGCGGCCGCAAACTCACTGATGCGCCTGCAGCCTCTCAGAGTTCCTGCTGATCTAAACATTGAAAGAATCATTTAAATTTCTGTTCCTCACTTCTGATTACCTTCAATGGTGTTTGTTGCAACCACCAGGTACAAAAACTAACTTGTTTTTATTTGACTATTTTTCTGTCCTGCCTGTTTATTATCTTCCTGCATCTCCTCTCAATCCTTAAGAAAAACTGCTACCTGGCTTCATATATATTCACCTTATGAGTTACCTTTGAACTGCAGATCAAAAAGATCTATCGACCGCAAAAATAGTGGAGTGCGCGCCGGCCGCACCAGTGAGGTGAAATCACAGGAGGACGAAACAGGTGATGCGCTCCGCTCCGCAGCAGCGAAACACATCAGGCACAAATAAAAGTCAAAAAGCATGAAAGGATATGAGCCGACATGAACGATTGCATGTTAACTTTGTTTTTGAGGTGGCAACACTTTGAGAATGTTGCTGTGGCCGTGCTCAGGACGCAGCTGTCTGGAGCACGTCAACGATCAGAGATCTGCGCCTCTCACCTCAAAATAATACCAGCAGAGTCCACGTGAATTATGTAATATAAATATAACCAGGATCATTTCTGGACTAAAAAACAGTCTACAGTCCAGCTTCTCTAATGTGTTTGTGGCCCTGCAGATTTTTCAAACTCTACCAGTTACAAATTGAGAAGGGGAACAATCATTTCACAAATGGCAAGAATAAAAAATGAACTGAGAACAACACAAACTCAACAGCGCCTCAGTGCACTGTCACTGATGGCTATTGAATCTCAGCTTGTCAGGAAATTGGACTTTGATGACATTGTAAATGAATTTACTAATAGAAAGGCCAGAAAGCAGTTTTCTGAAGGCAAGAGAGGAGACCAACAATAGGAAACAAAAAGAGGAGGAAGGAGGCAGGAGACAAACAAAAAACATGCAGATATTACTTCTTTGCAAACTTTTCAATAACTGTATAATCTTTTAAATAATCCTGCATTACTTTCTGTTGTAGTTTGACAGTGGGATCTGTTTTACAGCAGACTCATTCGCACCCACTGTCCCACAGATTGACAACATTTTTGTTAGTACAGACAGAAGAGAAGACATGAGCGCTGTGAGAAAGAGAGAGACATAAAAAGAGGAGAAAGGAGAGAGGACAGAGGAAGAAAGACAAATGAGTGAGGCACAACAGGAAAATCATCAGGTATGAGTGTTTGTGATTACGTTATAAAACTATTTTGACCTGGAGGTAAATGCTTTTGTATCAACATAAGTAAGTGATTTTTAATACTGGCAATGTTATGAAATGTCTAAAAAGTGCTACTGGGTGACAGTAATGTTGGAGGAGGCTGGGTGGGGTGGGGGTGTGGGGGTTAGGGGCCCTAAGCACATTGTGCCCAGGGGCCCCTGCAATGATAAGCCGGCCCTGAGTGGAGGTTCTAACAGACAAGGTGCTGCGGTTTCAGATACCTACATACATGCTGAGCCCTTAAAGCACAGTGAAGAAATAATGAGAGGATAAATGGAAGCTTTGATCTCTTATTCTCAGAAATTTTAGGCAAAAAGTAATTTTTATTAGATTAGATCTGAATTTTTTTAGTGATTAGAATTTGATGTTTATTCTCTAACCTAAAATCTAGAAGAGATGTGTTGTTTAAAAAAACGTTTTGTTTCTGAATTATGAAAAAATAGCAAAAAAGTATAGATATTTTTTCTACGAGATGCAGATTTTAGTGGAAAGTTAATTAAAAACTAACATGAATAGATCTTAAAAATATTACTTTTACTGTCATTCTGTTGTGAAAAACATTCAATGAAAACTCTGAAAAGCTGCTTAAACCTGCATTTTTTTTATTATTCTGGGTCTATCTATATTATTAAAATGATCAGAGCCACTGCAGAAGGCCCAAAGAGCCTGAGTTATGCTGTGGTAACGTGAGAGAAACTGTGAAATAGTAAAGTGTTTGCTGTATGCTTGTTCATGTTGAATTCAAATAAAATATATACAAGAAATATATGATGATAAGAAGGATACTAATTGTATGTATATGTAACAGTGATGTTAGGGCTAAAAGGCAGAATATATGTTTTGTTTGTTTTTCCTCATTACATAGGAACTTCACGTTGTCCCACATTGAGTAGTCTCTGTCCACATTTAGCAAGTTGGGTTCTGGCCACCCTAGTGGTGTGGGCGCAGTTTGGCGCTCCTCTCTGGATGGCGCCCCAGGCGGACGGACCGCCACTGGACATCCTTGTTGTTCAAAGACAATGCATGTAAAATACTATTAAGAACTGCGTTGTATGAATAAAAATAAATGTTTTAAGTTATTAGAATAAAAGTTAAATATCAAAAAATGCTGGTAGGCTACTGGTGACATTTGTTCAAAACAGCTTTAAATCCTGAAACCTGCTCTTGTTTGGTGTGCATCTTTGTTACCAAACTATTCTGAAAAGGTAAATATGTGTTGCTATAATTATTGTTTTTGTATGCTACTTTGAAAACAAGTCTCTGGGTAAGTACAGCGGGTCGAAACAGATAATAATAAAATACTCCAGAGCAGGAAACCCAGTCTATGAGGACAGAAGGATTCGGAATGAGGTGGAGTCTGAGGGAAACATGTTCTTCAGATTGTAAAGGCCACTCGGTTCATTCTAGCAGTTGATTATGCAGAAAGAGTTGAATCAACAAAGCGAAATCGCTTCTATTTTAGTAAGAGAGATTAAAAAACGATTAACCCGCATTGATAAAGGCTGCAGGACGAAAAACAGCAACAGAAACGCGAAACAAGAGCTTAAAGACTTACATAGTGTTTGGAGGGATTCCTTCTCTTCTGCACGTCAACGACATTCACGTCCAGCACGGTCCGGAACTGCATCTTCACACCTCAAACAGGACTTCAAATTAAATCCAGAAAGTCTGCAGACGACGTTTTCCCATAAAAACGGTCAAAATGCATATATAGCTCAAACTGGTTTAAAAGAGACATCCAAGTCCACGAATTTGTGGTCTCTGATCTGGAGCTTCTGAAGCCTGAAATCTGACAATAAAAGTGATCGAAGATCTCCTCCCCCCGACGAGGGGCTGTCTAGAGCCGGGGGAGCGGCTGAACTCAGGAGGGGAACAGGGGCGGTCCCTCCTCAGCTGGACCCGGGCACACTTCACGCCCAGGAGGACCCTTCAGTTACAAGTGACCCAAGCTGCTTCAGTGAAGAGCCTCAGTCTGATAGAAACCCCTTGGAAAAAACATAAATGATCCAAATGTAAATTTAGAAATATTTGAAAATTCAGTATGAGCCAATGTTTGCTGTGCTTTTTATGTTAATCCATTTTGAATTGAGGACTCATAAATTAATCCAGCTCAACTACCTCTTCACCAAAACAGACTGGTACAATTATGGCGTTTAAAGCGTGCCACAACCCGTGCACGCGCATTGGGTCCACAGCGCGCGTGTGAACGGGACTCGCGAGCGGAAATATACATGGCGAGAGGTCATTTGTGCACTGAGAGGGAGCTAACTGTGTCTGTGAGCGCACAAGGATGTGCACAAGTGACAAACCTGCGTGCGCGCGTGGTCAACGAGCACACGGCAGAGGAAAACGTGCGCGCGCGGCAGCCTCTGTGCGCGCTCGGCAGCCTCTCTGCGCGCTCGGTTTCTGACTCCTGCTCGCTCGGCTGTAAGGGTTTTGGCACTCTGGAGGCGTGGCCTGTGGCAGATCTTCTCTGTCCTCTGATTGGTTAGTGTACCCCGCACTTTACCCTCTACCTATCTATATAAAAAAGTCTGCTAGTCAAGTAGTCGCTGGCATAGCTCAGTTGGAAGAGCGGGTGACTCTCGCCCCGGAGGATCCAGGTTCGAGGCCGGGCAAGTTAAATGCAGTAGATGTCATGTTAATTTTTCTTAATTTCAGGTATTTTACAGTTGTGACCGTTCAACTATCATTAAACGTCCGAATGTTTGCTGGGCAGTGTTTTAAAAAGTGCACATAAGCTAGATGGTTTTAACCATATAAAATTACATTTTTTGTGATACTGGAAAAATACATACTGAAATAAAACTACTGATTGAAAACTTTATGACTGTGGTTGTACAATATATGACTCACTAATACACTGCAAACTCCCTTAGAGTGGGGCTTCCAGAGAGAGAGAGAGAGAGAGAGAGAGAGAGAGACAGAGAGAGAGACAGAGAGAGAAAAGTTCTTGCCTCATTAATGAATTGTTTATTTTTTTCAGTATTTAATTGACAAATTATCCTTTCAAATAATTAATTGATGAGTTACATAATTGTCCATTTAGAATTGTTGAATGGACTAAGTCAAGTTTGGTGCACTTTATATATTTAAAAACATGTTTTTTTTTATTTTAATGATGCATATAAATAATTTAAATGTTAATTTAATGAAATATTTCTATTTTTTCATTACCTCACCCTTGTTTTGACAAAAACGGGACCTTGCTGGATAATATCATGGAGAAACTATTTGTTCACAGTACATGGCTCAGTGAGGATCTGTGTAAAGGAGGAGATACTCAGAAATCTGTCTGCAGATTGTTACAACCCAGACTGGAAGTGGCGGGCTGTAATAAGAAAGGAGACCAAACAGGAGTGGGGGGTTCAACAACTGATTTATTTAACAAAAGTAAGGATTTACTAAAGCAAGTTAGTGAACAGAAAATGGCCATCTCAAGGTTTTACTCGGATGTCCCTCAGCAGGGTGCAGCACTGTTGAAGGTCATCTGAATGAAAGCTTGATATGCAGTTTCTTTATGAATGTGTGTAAATATACAGTATGGTTGCCGTACATATGTTGAGGTTCTCAGACATCAGGCTTCTTTGCCCAGGCCTTCACTAGTGGGCTATTTTAAAAGTTGGTAAGGAGAAAAACCACAGCATATAGCTGATTGTTTACAAATGCAAGGAGGGGAATAACAATCAAAATGCTTGTGTTCTTGGACCAGATGAATGGAGCGCTCCACATGCACTCAGAGATGTTATGGCTTCTGTTTCTATAACTTTACATGCAGACATTTGAGGTTTGCCAGAAAGGAAAGCTGGCCTGTACACTTTGCAGGGCACAATGTCATCAATGCAGAAACCCCTGTCTACCAAGATGACCATCTCTAGTTGTAGCATTTTCAACACACCAGATTCCCAGGTTGGTCGCTGATAGTTCCAGCATACAGTGCTGAGACAAAGGTCACTGGCCTATGTGGCACAATCCAAATGAGCCTCTTCAGAGTGCAGTTGAACTTGAGGAAAATATATGACTCTGGAAGAGAGGGGAATATGGCCATTGACACCTCAGATCAGTGCAGTCAAGATTTACTGGTGTTTGGGTAGTCCTGAACGTGTTGTGATGCCCCCACCATCTCATTGGGTTTTCATTTGTGTTTAATTGTGTTTTTCTTCTGTTGTAGGCAGCTGGTTAAGCAGCCTTGGAGGCACCTGGGCTCAGGGTGTGGTGCTGCCTACAAAGCCTACTGTTTTTCTGCTTTCACTGGGTCTCTCCTGTGTGGTGGAGAGTCCTCACTGGCCATTTTCTGTTCACTAACTTGCTTTAGTAAATCCTTACTTTTGTTAAATAAATCAGTTGTTGAACCCCCACTCCTCTGTTTGGTCTCCTTTCTTATTACAGCCCACCACTTCCAGTCTGGGTTGTAACAATCTGCAGACAGATTTCTGAGTATCTCCTCCTTTACACAGATCCTCACTGAGCCATGTACTGTGAACAAATAGTTTCTCCGTGATATTATCCAGCAAGGTCCTGTTTTTGTCAAAACAAGGGTGAGGTAATGAAAAAATAGAAATATTTCATTAAATTAACATTTAAATTATTTATATGCATCATAAAAAAAAAAAAAAACATGTTTTGAAATATATAAAGTGCACCAAACTTGACTCAGTCCATTCAACAATTCTAAATGGACAATTATGTAACTCATCAATTAATTATTTGAAAGGATAATTTGTCAATTAAATACTGAAAAAAATAAACAATTCATTAATGAGGCAAGAACTTTTCTCTCTCTGTCTCTCTCTCTGTCTCTCTCTCTCTCTCTCTCTCTCTCTCTCTCTCTCTCTCTCTCTCTCTCTCTCTCTCTCTCTCTGGAAGCCCCACTCTAAGGGAGTTTGCAGTGTATTAGTGAGTCATATATTGTACAACCACAGTCATAAAGTTTTCAATCAGTAGTTTTATTTCAGTATGTATTTTTCCAGTATCACAAAAAATGTAATTTTATATGGTTAAAACCATCTAGCTTATGTGCACTTTTTAAAACACTGCCCAGCAAACATTCGGACGTTTAATGATAGTTGAACGGTCACAACTGTAAAATACCTGAAATTAAGAAAAATTAACATGACATCTACTGCATTTTCCTTGCCCGGCCTCGAACCTGGATCCTCCAGGGCGAGAGTCACCCGCTCTTCCAACTGAGCTATGCCAGCGACTACTTGACTAGCAGACTTTTTTATATAGATAGGTAGAGGGTAAAGTGCGGGGTACACTAACCAATCAGAGGACAGAGAAGATCTGCCACAGGCCACGCCTCCAGAGTGCCAAAACCCTTACAGCCGAGCGAGCAGGAGTCAGAAACCGAGCGCGCAGAGAGGCTGCCGAGCGCGCACAGAGGCTGCCGCGCGCGCACGTTTTCCTCTGCCGTGTGCTCGTTGACCACGCGCGCACGCAGGTTTGTCACTTGTGCACATCCTTGTGCGCTCACAGACACAGTTTGCTCCCTCTCAGTGCACAAATGACCTCTCGCCATGTATATTTCCGCTCGCGAGTCCCGTTCACACGCGCGCTGCCATGTATATTTTCGCTCGCGAGTCCCGTTCACACGCGCGCTGTGGACCCAATGCGCGTGCACGGGTTTTGACAGGGGTATGACGCGATATACAATGCCTGCAGTACTGCAGAAGCAGCATCAATCCGCCTACTGATCTCGTGCTCCATCTTTCCCTCACTCGTGAACAAGACCCCGAGATACTTAAACTCATCCACATGGGGCAGCAATTAATTCCTGACCCATAGAACGACTCAAGTCCATGGTCTCATATTCTCGAGAGCTGATTCTCATCCCAGCTGCAAGATAAAACTTATTTATAATTTCTAGATTATTGTCTAAATGTTGAGAAGTTGGAATTCTATTAATAGTACAAATATAGTGAATTAAATTCAGTTTATTTATATAATGCCAAATCATGACAAGAGTTGTCTCAAGGCACTTCACATAGTAAACATTCCAGTGCAGTTCTGGGGCCTCATTTATCAAGCTTGTTTACGCACCAAACGGGGTCGGAAAACTGCATAAGCAACTTTCCACGCAAACTTTGGGATTTATGAAATAAAATTTAGCAGGAAAATGTGTGCAACTATAAGTTGACTAAGAACATTGCTTACGCACATGTTGGACATGGAGAACACCTGCAGTGCTGCTGCTGAGAAGGATAAAATTATGAAATCCTGCAGCATTATCACTTGTACTGCTTCGTTTTCACACAGAACAAAACCCCCCACATGCATACACACGCGCGCATACACACACATGCATGCACACTCACACGTACATAAGCATGCGCGCGCGCACACACACACACACACAGCCTGAAGCGCAGAATACAGAAAGCAGAATATCAGCAGGGGGACAGATTGAGACAGAATGTCATGCGTCTGTGACAGTGTGTGTCCTGTCACTGTGACCCACTTGATCATGCGCCCTGGCTAGTTGAACAGGGGAGATCTTCGTTTGGCTGACTGGTTAGCGTGCATGACTTTCACCTGGGAGTCTGGGGATTGAATCCCGATTGGACCATCTTTTTATATCCACCACAGATCTCTCCTAAGAATTCACAACATTGACGGCTTCAGCAACGCTGTGCCACTCCGTGGATTTTCTCTCATTTGTTTTGCAAAAGAATTTCCTTTCATTTCTCCACCTCACCCACAAGTACCTCAATTTCTGCTTCTGTGAAATTGCGCTTCCTTGATCTGCCTTGATCTACAGTCGCCATCGTCATTGGTGGAATGCTGCAACAGCCGGCTTATGTATATGCATGAGATCCACAAGGCACTTTGCACTGACTATTTACGGCAGTAAGTGGGCGTGGTGAGGGCGGGATGTGACTAAAAAGCAGCTGAGAAACATTGTCG